CATCCCAAAACTGACCCGGCTGTGCAAATAGTTGGGAAAGATATTTATTGCAGGCATTCTGTGTTAGTCCAAACTGCCTAACTATATAACAATATAAAGGCTGAGGAAGCAATTCCTTTTACAAAGAGAAGGCAATTTAAACATTGTTTTTCAAATATTGGAGTCGTGTAGCTCAGTGGTTAAAGCACTCGCTTTGCAAGCAAGAGACCTGGGTTCGATTCCCAGCAGGGCGAAACCTTGGGCAAGTTTCCTTACTCCACACGCCTGATAATAATCCCTCAAACAAAAACAATAATAAGTTGGTTATTTCAATCCACGACTGTTTGTGGGACACTGCTGTGCACAATTGGCTGCCGCGTTTCGCCCACAAATATACAGTCAATTCACTTTACAGTCTATTCTCTTAAGTGCTTTGAGACATCTGGAAGATGTGAAAAGTGCTATATCAAATGCAAGGAATATTATTATTATAAATATGTATGTGACTAATGCTAATAAATCAACTTCAATAAATCTAATTTCAGCATGTTTTTCTGTCTGCCATTATTCTTCCAATTTTTCTGCACGTTGTGAGAATGTTATATGGATTGGAAGGACATCACTTTTTGGCACCCATTGAAGCACTTGGTGCATATCTGCCTCAAAAGTATTTCTTAACCACAACTTCAGAATACTCTTCCTGCAGCTGTGCAAACTATTTCGCTTCTCAGACTGGCCAGTGCTGTAGCATCTCTCAGGAAAGTCATCATTTTGGTGCTGAATTAGGGGTTCTTTTGTGCTGTGAACTTAAAGCATTCTATATCCCCACCACTCCGTCAAACCATTGGAAGCCAAGCTTTTGGCCATTATACCTTGCTCTCCCAAAAATCCTTAAAAACTTTTCCAAAACCTACCTCTTCTTTTGCAGCTTTGATCAAATACCCTCCTACCCCATCTTTTGCTACTTTGCTTGTGGTTTCTATTCTGTTTCTGTAAAGCACTTCAAGATGCCACCTTACGTGGAAAAGCTCTACAAGTAAAAACTTCTTGTTGTTGCACATCAAAAAATAGGTTGAGGCTTTACAAACTCGTTTCAGTAAGCACCTTACAGCTATCAGAGTGAGAGACCTATTCCATCAGTCTGAGTGGATTTCAACCACATTCAAACCAGTTTTACATTATGGGATTACTGGGGATTGAATTTTTGCTTCCGTGGGGAGACTGTAATGAAAAAATGCTGATTTACCTTGATGGATGAAACCTATCCTCTGACAGACATCTCTTCTTTCCCTCCTTATCAACAGCCTTTGTCCTGGCAGCTGAACAATACAATTTTTTTCCATTTGGTAACACGTGCAGAGGTAATGTCATTGTGGCACAATAACATCATGCAAAGTCACAAGATGACATTAAACTGCATGCTTTTTTTGGCAACTTGTTTTTCCACTGATCAACACTGTTTAAACGATGTGTGGAACCTGGACGGAAGGTCAAGAACAAGATGGCCTGATATTCAGGCGTAGCTCCTGCCCTTAGCTACCATTATTTCAGTAGCAATTCATTGGGGAGGAAACATCTAACCAATTTACAAAAGCATTCATACAAGATATAAATTCTGTGTAGCTGCAGAATGAAAAACTATCATTGGTTTACAGCACTGAAAGATTGTCATTTGAGTAAAGTTTATCATGATCAAAGTAGTTGAACTGAATATTTGAAGCGCTCCGGGACGCTACATCGTGTGAAGGGGCGCTACATAAATGAAAGTTGTTGTTTTTATTGAACTCGGTACTTGATGGGTAGCACCTTAGGATCCTGACGAGATTTTGGCAATCATCAAACTGGAAAAACATTCCAATTTTCAAAATTGGAATTTGAAGACTGAGTCAATTAAATTAAGAAAATAAAGTTGCAATTTATTGAGGTGTCGAATAGATGCTACAGAATAGTAATGGGTATGGTTGCTGATGAATTAGGTAGCCATTATTAAACTCTACATTCAGTAATGTATTCTCTTGTCCAAGAAGCTTCAGCAGAGTGGATTAATGGGGAATAACTCATTTCAGTGCTTCTCAGCGCTTGTAGATTTAAGCAGTGCGACGACATTGAATTGTCACTAGAAGAGAGAAACAGCAAAGGGGTGAAATTAGCAGCATTTTATAAACCTATTCAATAATCATATCAAACCTAATACGAAATGCCACTAATTTATTTCTAAGTGCTTTGAGACACTGCCCCATGTGAAAGGCCCTGTATAAATGCAAGTTGTTGTTGTATCTCTTTAGGCTGAGCCAAACAATTATCAGGTTATTTTCATGAGAATTTTACATTTTGATCATTTTGGTCAAAATAATAACATTGGCATTGCTTCTGCCAAATGCTTTTAGTTACTGACCAAGTGAGTCACTTTTTCTTACAAGCATTTAGTTCAACTGGTATTATGATATGGAATTCAATCTTAGAAACATTGTTCCTTCGCTCTAAGCAACAACTGTAATAAGAATCCTTACATTCGATACAGCACTTTTCATGTCGAAGAAGTATGTAGAATTAATGGGGCAATGCAACCCAATGTTGCATTTATGCCACTTTTTGGGCTGACAGCTTGACTTTAAAATGGTGAACATTCAGATGTGTTGAGGTTTATTTAAAATCAGTAATTTCTTTTAAAGTAATAAATAATAATAATCCTTGCATTTGATCTAGCGCTTTTCATATCTTCTAGACGTCTCAAAGCGCTTCACAGAATATACTGTAAAGTGAATTGACTCTATATTAGTGGGCGAATGTATATTTCTGTTGCAGTTGGTTCTACAATGGTGATTGAATAACCTTTTAAATAAAAGAAATTGTGCTAAACTCAAAAATAAGGACATTTACATAATTACAGAACTTTACACAAGGAAAATGCTCTGAATATTTAATGTTGTTAATATGAACTACAAAGGAGCCTTTAGGCAGATCCACATCATTAAACGAATACTGCAGGGAAGCTTCACACAAATCATATGCATGAGGCGTCTCCTCTATGTGGAATTTATCTAAAGAATAAAATGTCAGAGTAGTTTTATCTTTTGAATTTGATAGCAGTCAGGCATCTCAGTCCCAAGTCCATCCCTGTGGCTGCCTGGATGTCCCTTCAGCGTTACATCACATTGCACCAGTGATCAACACAGCTGCTGACTGTGCAATTTAATGGTGGACAGCCCCTGGAAACAAGATCAAGGGGCAGAGCTCATTTAAAGCCTCCCTGGTGGACTTCAACCTATGTGGCGGACCTCAACTTAATTATGTCCTACGCCTCTGTCAACCTCAGGTAGTTTGGCTGTTATGACAATTACTCTGCCTGTTTGTATGATGGCTGTTCGCCAAAGCTATCACCTCCTCCTGCAGATTGATATAGGAGAGTGAATTATACTCCATGTTCTATGACAGAACTTCTTTGTCGATATCAGTCTGGCTCATTTGGTAGCACTTTTGCCTCCAAGTCCGAAGGTTTAAGCCCCACGGAGGGCACTGCATTATCAGAGCTGTTGTCTTTTTGGTGTCAAACAAGGTCCTGTCTGCCTGTTCAGGTGAAGTTAGAGAATGGCTCAATTCAAAAACATAATAGTGCCATGGGATCAATTTTTCAAAAGAAAAGTTTCTCCTGGTGCCTTAGGTAACATCCTCCAGATAAAAGAAACTGACGTTTCAACATGATCAGGCACTATATCAAAATGGAAGAATTATTATACTTCTCTCACTCCTGTAGTTGTACTTCAGAATGTTTAACTGAGTCTTTACCTCATTCTTTACCTTAACTGATTGCCCAAGCTCTGCGTTTCCAGTGTCTTCTTATCTACAGTCAGACGGAATTCAACCTTGTCTTGGTCCTAATCTGGTTTGTCTAATTTTAAAGTCATGTCCACCTCAAGATCTTCCTCTTTGTGTTTTTGAGCATCTTTCCCCCAACCACCCACCCCCAGTTCGGGTGCAAACCGTAGACTGTCTAGTACCTTGGGATGTGCTCCAATGTGAAAGGTGCAGTTTGAATGTAATTTTGTGTTATATTTTAACTAATTGAGCCAAGGGTGTGTGTAGGGGTGAGGGGTGATTGTTGAATCTTTTTGTTTCCCTCCCTTTTTGTAAACATATTAATTCCGAGGGATAGACAGCAGTGATGTAGGCTTGAACAGTTCTTCTAATGGTGAGATCTGCTGCTGTTCCATTGTTGTACACATAGATCTCCACCTTTTTAATAAATATTGAAGATGGGAATATTGGAGCATCAGATTTTCAGCGTCTGGGTGTGTTGAGTTAGTGCAAAAGATTTTCTCAGTATTGCAGTTATTTCATACCTTAATGACAGGAAGCTAGCTGTATTTAGGAGAAATAATCCTTTTAATGGGCTATTTGACACCCTACACAATGGCCAGAAGATGAATCCATATCTTAACCATTGATTCACTGCTTTTTTTCCCCTTGTTTTGAGCTACATCTTGTTCACTTACACTTACTCATGTGGTCACCCTCTTTTCTCTTTTGTGCCCTCTCATTCTCTCTCTGCGGTAACTGCAAATGGATTATTATCAGATACTGCAGCTTGCTTGCCAAAGTTACATGAAATATTTGTCAATTTTCATTTTCTTTCTCAGCTGTGTAGAACAGCAATTTTAAAATAGACCACGTTTAATCATGGGTGAACCCAATGTGGTGCATGTCCTGAATGAAGCATATGTAGCTAAACTGTGTTTGTATCTTTTATTGCACTCAGTAACGCACTTCATTCCTCAACTTTGTCTATAAAAAACATAGTCACTGCATTGTACAGTAAATTCAGTAAAGTGCTTTGAGACAGCCTCATGATGTGAAAGATGCCATATTAAAATTCGAGTTTTAATATTATAACTTGGTAATAAAGAGTGAGTGCCCTGAAAGACGTTGAGCTATAAAGTTGCAGGATCGTTTCTTCTTCTTGCCCTCCCATGCAGTTGTTTAAAGAGATTGTAATATTTGTTGCTTTTCTTTCTTTTCTTTAGTGTCAGAGCAACTGGCCATGCATAAACCCCTGGCAAAGCCATCTGGGATTGGGGTCTTGTGTCACAAATGTGGGAAGTCCTGCAAAGGAGAGGCCTTGCGTGTTCAAAACAAATACTTTCACATCAAGTGTTTCTCCTGCAAAGGTAATTTTTTTCTTTTCTTTTCATTCTATAATTGCACTGCACAATTTTCACATATGAATTGTGATCCTTCTGGTGTGCTTCTAGTTTTTGGATTTGGAATTTGCAGTCATCCAAACTGAAGAGAAAATTCACTAAGTAAACCAGATAGAGGGCTTTTATTTGAATCAGCCTCCAGGGCTGCACACTCAACCTCACTAAGCCAGTCAGGAACCTGGGTGTCTTATTTGACCCTGAACTGTCCTTTCACCCCCATATCCGCGCCATGACCAGCACTGCCTACCACCACCTCCGCAATATTGCCAGACTCCGCCACTGCCTCACCCCGCAGGCTGCCGAAACCCTCACCCCTCAAGGCTCGATTACGGAAACTCCCTCCTCATCGGCCTTCCCAACTCTTCCCTTCACAAGCTTCAGATCATCCAAAACTCTGCAGCTCATGTACTCTCGCGCACCAGGCTCCGCGACCCCAAAGGCGCTCTATAAATGTAATTTTGTTGTTGTTGTTGAATCGCTTCTGACCTCTTCTGTAAAGTGTATTTTTTTAATTGATTTTGTTTTTTTTGTTGTTGACTGTGATCTCCTTTAGTTCTGTTGTCAAGATTTAAAAGATTGAGCAATGTGTACATGTAAAAGATGCTTGGTTCCAAAAAGCCCTCTTTAGTTTTATGACATCATGTACATTTGCAACATCATACAACATCGAGAGAGAACGTGGAGAACGATGGGATGAAGGGGCAGCAGTATTTTATTGTTGTATGTTTTGCAATCCTAAAACTAAAGAACTATGAGACACAAGGTAGATGTGGAAAATAGAGGACATGGGAGCTCTGGTTCCAGAGAAACATTTTCCACAGTGTTTCACTATATCCTTATAGTGTGGAGACTAGAATTGGACACAATACACCAAATGTGGTCTAACCAAGGTTTTTGTATAAGTTCAACATCACCTTCTCACTTTTATATTCTATCCCTCAGGATATAACAACAACTTGCATTTATATAGTGCCCTTCATGCAGGGTAGCATCCTGGAGCACTTGACAGTAGTTAATCTGACACCGAGCCAGGCGGAGAGGGAAGGGGGAGGTGACCGTAAGCACGATCAAAAAGGAAGGACTTTAGGCGGGATTTGAAAGTTGGGAGGGAGGGGGCAAGGTGGAGGGATTGAGTAGGGGGAGTTCCAAAGCTTCCAGGCATAGTAACTGAAAGTACGGCCACTGATGGTAAGCAGAGGGAGTGACGGATGAACAGGAGGCCAGAGCCGACCGAGCGGAGGCAGCGGGTAGTGGAGTGGGGAGTAAGCAAATTGGATAGGTAGAGAGGTGCGAGGGCATGAAGGGATTTGAAAAAGAGTGAAAGGATTCTTAAAATCGATCCATTCAGGAATTGGAAGCCAGTGGAGCCTGGCAAGGACTGGTGTGATGGGGATCTGGAATTTTGTGCGGGTGAGTATCCGGATGGTGGAGATTTGAATTAATTGAATTTTGTGTATGGTAGAACTGGGGAGACTAGCGAGGAGGGCATTTGAAAAGTCCAACCGGAAAGTCACAAAGGGACAAGAGTTCCGGCTGTAAAGCCCAAGACCCCATTGGCATTTTATAGCCTTATCTACCTCTGTAGCTTCTTTTAGAGATTTGTGGATCTAAATTACCAGTTCTCTCTAACCCTCTTAGGTTCCTGACATCTAGACTATAGTCGGGCTCATCTCCTGATGTGGTGCATTTTTCTGTTGTGCTCTTAAATATGAAAACACCCAAATCAACATTTTTAATCTTATTTCTAACTCCTGAACAGCTGAGGGAAAGAAAAACAATTTTAGCTTTTAAAATAGGTCTGGAAGTGATGAGTAAGAGGTAATGTACTATTGCCAGTTTGACAGTGACATTGAGGATTTGGACGTGATTATCAAGGGGAAAAGGCGAAAGTGGCAGCTTGCCATGGAAAAAGCACCTTGGGACCTAAGCTGTGTCTTCTCCAGAGAACATCATGTATATCAGGCTGAGAACTAGGCACTGAGCATTAGAGAAGTTGAGCAAAATACACATGAACCAAATGTACCTCAACAGGAAAATTAACAACTTACCAGTGATCAACAGGGGGAAAAAAAAACATGCAAAGGGATTTCGTAGTAGCTAGACTTTTGTGATTTAAAGAGAGTTTTGGCATCATCTCAATTAGTTGGTGAAAGGACAACTCTGTCCTTTCAAAGCTTCTCAGTTTCCCATGCTGAATGTAGCTCCGGGACACTACCCCGCATGAAGGTCGCTAAATAAATGCAAGTTGTTGTGGTTGTTGTTGAATGTACCACAGCTCAATACCTCTACAGCATTAAAGAAAAGAAAATGTGTGTTAATTAATTAAACATTAAAATAAAATAGAATATAAAATGTCCATGTAGTTGTTAGAAACTATCTGTAAGTGCTTTGGTAGTTATATAATTAGCAATTTTAACAATTTAAAGCAAGAGAGGCTAATGGACAGCAAGTGTGCCAGATTATTTTGATATAATTTGTGGATTGTAATATTAGATATCGGTCCTTTATTTCTTACCTTCAAATGTAAACTCCACTTTCTCTGTTATTTTACATTCAAAGTCTGGATTTATACTGATCCAAATGTGTTTGTAAAATAGTTATCTGATGATATTGCAATTGATTCTTAATTGCAATTGATGTTTAATGTTCATTTTTTGCTTCCAACTTCATTCTATAATAATAATAATAATCCTTGCATTTGATAAAGCGCTTTTCACGTCGGGAGGACGTCCCAAAGTGCTTCATAGAACACACTGTAAAGTGAATTGACTGTATATTTGTGGGTGAACGCGGCAGCCAATTGCGCACAGCAATGTCCCACAAACAGTCGTAGATTGAAAATGACCAATTTATTATTGTTTTTTTTTGTTTTGGAGGGATTATTATTAGGCTCTCTGTGGAGTAAGGAAACTTGCCCAAGGTTTCGCCCTCTGCCTGGAATTGAACTCGGGTCTCTCGCTTGCAAAAGCGAGTGCTCTAACCACTGAGCGACAGGACTCCATTCTGCATATAACACTATCAATTCATTGTCTAACCTGTGTCATTGCATTATGATTGGATCTTCCAATTACTTTAATTGTGTATATATCCAGACACTCTCATTGTACTGGCATTTTTTTTACAGAATAAGCATTGTTTCACAATGAATTTTAGTGCATATCTTTTGGGGTATAGCACATTAGTTGTAATTCTCATTCCTCCTCACTCTCTTTTCTCCACAACTCCCTCTCCTCCATTCTGGCCTCCCTCACCCCCGAACTGCCTCATACTCCCGTAAATCCCCCTGGCACCCCAGCCATCTCTGTTCCCTCAAGGCACAAGTGCGAGTTGCTGAACGCATCTGGACCACTTCCAAACTAATGGTCCATCAGCAGATCTGGCTTCACCACACCAAGATTTACAGCTGCGCTCTTGCCTCCGCCAAATCCTCCTTCTACTCCAAGGTTATCTTGGAGGCAAAGGACAAACCCCGGCTTCTCTTTTGCACCACAAACCGTCTCCTCCATCCCCCTTGCCATGCCTCGCCCATCCTCTCCTCAAATTCCAACTGGGAGGAGATGCTGGATTTCCGCTAAACCAAAATCAAGGGTATGCGTTCAGCCACCTCTGCCCCGTCCACAGCCACCCCCACATCACCTCTCCCTCATGACCCACCCACCACCTATACTCTTTCGACCCTATCTCTTCCTCCTCCCTCTCCGCAATTATTCGCAAACTCAAACCCACCACCTGCTCCCTCGATCCCATTCCCACTTCTCTCCTCATCTCCCAGCTCCACCTACTGGCCCCTCTCCTGTCCGACGACATCAACCTCTCCTTGTCAACCGGTTCAGTTTCAACCCCCCTATAAACAGCCGTCATCACCCCCATCCTGAAAAAACCTTCCCTGGACCCATCCCTGCTCTTCAGCTACCACCCCATCTCTAACCTCCCATTCCTCTCTATGGTCCTGGAACGAGTCGTCGCTTCCCAGCTCTTCTCCTTTCTTTCTCGCCATTCCCTCTTTGAACCCCTCCAATCCGGCTTCCACACTGCCCACAGCACGGAAACAGCCCTGGTCAAAGTCACTAATCACATTCTGAATATCTGTGTTCAGGGCTCCCTCTGCCTCCTTTTCCTCCTCGACCTCTCTGCCACCTTTGACACTGTCGACTACTCCATCCTCATACACCGCCTCCTCCTTACTTAATCTTCACGGATCTGCCCTTGCCTGGTTCAATTCCTATCTCTCTCACCATCTCCACTTTGTTGCCTCTAATGGTCTCTCCTCCAGCCCCCGCATTGTCATGTCTGGCATCCCCCAGAGCTCTGTCCTTGGCTCTCTCCTCTTTAATATCTACATGCTCCCCCTTGGTGACATCATCCGCAGATGTGGGGTCAACTTCCATATGTATGCAGATGACACCCAACTGTATGTTTCTGCCTCCACCATCAACTCCAGGACCACTGCTGTCCTGATAGACTGTCTGTCGGACATCAAGTCCTGGATGAGTGCAAACTTCCTGCAGTTGAATGTGAACAAGACTGAAGCCCTCCTGATTGGCTCGCGCCAGCGCCTCTGCACCTCAGGCTTTGGCAGCATCAACCTCCATGGTTGCTCATTTCAACTCACCAAGCCAGTCAGGAACCTCGGTGTCTTGTTTGACCCTCAACTGTCTTTTCTTCCCCACATCCAAGCCATGACCCTCTCTACCTTCCATGACCTCCGTAACGTCGCCCGACTCCGCCACTACCTCACCCCTCAGGCCGCTGAAACTCTTGTTCGTGCCTTCATCACCTCCAGGCTCGACTATGCAAACTCCCTGCTTGTCGGCCTTCCCAACTCCTCCCTCCACAGGCTGCAGATAATCCAGAACTCTGCAGCCCGTGTCCTCTCCCGCACCAAACTCAGTGACCCCATCTCCCCCACTCTCACCCGACTCCATTGGCTCCCTATCCTTCAGAGGAGCCAGTTTAAGATCCTGGTC